TCTTACTATATGGACACGTTCATTTGAGTTTGAGGATATTGGTAAATATAAGTGACCCTATTAAAAGGCACAGTGTAGTTGCCTTTGTCACACTATGAAATTACACAAACCCTTGATGGTTAGGATAATCGTCTCATCCTCTAGGCTAACTTTGTCACTTAACGATATCTTAATCAGGTGATAAGATATCGCTTAAATACGGCCGGCATGGAAATGGTTACATTGTCACACTATAAACATGTGACGGAGTAAATATGGACCCCTTGCTGCCGTTTTTGACCAAATTTTTTAGTGTCCAGTTGATTGGATGGGTACATGGATGGGTACATATGACCACATATTTGACAATTCTTTTCGTTAGATGGTGCACTCAGGTTTACTATGTCACACATTTAAGAAAACATGTGAAGAATGTTTAGGGCACCCTGATAAGCAATGCTGAGTAGTGAAGGTTTATTTGATGGCCTGGAAGTGCTAGGAATTGTTATTATATCATATAGTCGTAAGGAATTAAAACACAGAAGGCACAAACAAGTCTACTTTGTCACATAATCTTGATGATATCTGAACATGTGTGAAATTAAACAAATAATGATATACCAGCTTAAACCTCTTATATTACATACTATGGATCAAACAACACTGTTAGAACCACGCACCAGTCACATAAATCATTATCGGGTGGTGATATGTTAACAGTGTCACAATTAAACTACTGCAACATGGTCAAAAATATGGTAATTTCGTCACAAAAAAATTATTATAACTCTGTTAGCTCCTTGCTGGCAAAATAACTAGTTCATTGATGATAAAGTTACATAGTATTCTAATAGAGGTATAGCTCTTCGAAATAGGGGCAAGACATGTTTACTTTGTCACATCAGTTATTATAAGAGTTAGGTAATCGTCATCAGATTAACAGATCTTTTTCGTAGTTTGGATCGATTAATATAGGCAATAAAGCATCCTATGTCAATTTTAACACACTATCTTGATATTGTTGGGGCAGGGAAAGTTAATTTTGTCACATTTTTAGTGTCTTTGACAAATTAATCTAAAATTGTTAAACTTGAGCTCTGATGTTCTAGACAATATACTACCAATCGTTTCTGAAAGAATGCTGAATTCTAATAGAGTTATAGATCTTCAAAATAGGGGCAAGATATGTTTACTTTGTCACATCAGTTATTATTAGAGTTAGGTAATCGTCATCAGATTAACAAATCTTTTTCGTAGTTTGGATCGATTTATATAGGTAATAAAGCAGCCTATGCTAATTTTTACACTCTATCTTGAAAAGTTGAAATTATTGGGGCAGGAAAAGTCAATTTTGTCACATTTTTAGCTACTTTGACAAATTTAACCTGAAATTGTTAAACTTGAGCTCTGATGTTCTGGACAATATTCTACCGATTTTTTTCTGAAAGAAGGTTGAATTCTAATAGAGTCATAGAATATATAGATCTTTAAAATAGGGGCAAGACATGTTTACTTTGTCAAACAGTTAATATAAGAGTTATTATAAGAAACTATTTCATTCTATAATCATTATTTTAAACCTATTTACGATTTCGTATCATTTTTGTGACAATATAAACATCAACTGATCTTAACTTGCATCAACTACATTGTCATCATGTAAAGTTTTCCCGCCTTTCAAACCAAAATCAGATATAAATAATTCGCCCAAAATTTAAAATTCCATATATTGTGACAGAATTAACCTCATTTCCCGATAACCAAGTGCCTGTATTAGCTAACTATTCGAAACAACATATTTTAGGGCTATAATTGGTAGATCAACCATCAAATAATGAGTTAAAAGGTTTTTGAGGACACCTCACAGTAGAATAGAGGTATGGTATTCTGAGTGTGACAAAGTTACCAAAATATTGCCTTGTAACCGTTCGATCCGTGCCCTTTAACCAATATTGTATCATAATTGTTAGATTGACCTAATCTACTATATTTCAGACCAAGGAATGATAATTAGACAACTGCAGATAACTAAGTCACACAAAATGTGACATTTGAACCATTATAGTGCCTAACAACAATAGATTTTCTTTCCGAGCAGTGCATATGGGAGTATGGGTTACGTGGCTAATGTTCAGAACTTCTGAACGTGCTAGGTTGATAAATGTCAAAATTAAGCCACTATCGTCAAAAACGCTATCTTTTTTGTTTACCAATATCCTCAAACTCAAATGAACGTGTCCATATATAAAGCGAGACGATATATATGTATATATCCGTGCCGTTTTACTGACACCACGGCATCAACTTTAACGCGACCTTCCGCAAAAACCGTAAATGATATAAAACTGAAACTTTTTTGACTGGGTCAAATGATTTTATGCTTTTCAAATCAGCATGAAAAAATAAAAAATTGGCCAAGGAATAGGAGTTTTAGAGCCCAAAATTTGGACCCCCAAGTGGTGTCAAAAACGCGAATTAAATAGGTAATAATTTAAATTATTTTAGTCTCTTGAGTCTTGACACCATTTTAGGGTTATACGGGTTCCTGCTAGTAAATATAATGTACAGCGGTGTTCACTATACATTGAAAAGGTTTTAAATGTCTATACACATTTTCATGAAGGAGCGGTCTACTATATTTTCCACTCATTTTCTTTGCTAATCGGTTAAGATCAATCTATTAAGATTTTGTTAAAAACCAATTCAGATTCGAATATTTTACATAGCTCACGAAATTTCGTATATTTTGCTGCAAGGCTCTTCAAACATGCTATTGCCGAGGCCTAATTTTAAAATGACCCAAGCCCGTTTGTCGCCAAAAGGTACCTTTAACTTACCCAAAAATATAGTTTTCGGGTGCTTTACTTTTAGCTGCTGTTCTTTTGAGTTCATAAATAAATGTTCATCAAAATCTGACGACTAAATGACTGAGACCCAAAAATTATGAGTCAAAACTTAAGTTAGTACAGGATATATGCTTATCAACCAAAATACTGGGCACTTATATCAACCGTATCAATTCTTTTCCTTCTAACGAAAGAAATAATATTTTATTCTGGATCTGAAGATTCCAAATCAATTTGCCGCGAATATGTTAATAAAACGTAGAATGATGTAAAAAAGGAAGCCTAAACGAACCTGCAGCAGTTATTTCAGGACAGTCCTCCTCGTCCACACAGAAGCCATGATGCAGGTAGGGGGTGTCAGGGGGACACACGCACGTGGGCGAGCACGTGGTACAGTTGCCATCGTGACGGGTTGCACAGCTCTTCTGGCAACCACACTCCTCCCACACCATCCCTCCGCAATCCTTTTCTGACTCTGAAGTCGTGTTTTAAATCACCCATATGTTTAGTGACTTTGTAACGATGAGGAGTTTAAATCAGGATTCGAAAGAAGATTTGAGCCTTAAAGCTCTGCCTTAAAAACTTCATAATTTATAATATGTCAATATATTTTACTTTGGACATTGGACAATAATGAACGTGAAGTAACCTGCTGTTTGTTCTTCACAGTCGTATAGAGAAACACACGTGTCATTTTGAAGTATGGGTAGGGATAGTGGGCAGGCACACCTAGAATAATATTTGTTATTTAACTTTTTAAATTATTTATTACGTAAATTATTCATTACGTAAGTTATATATTTAAGTTATTTTCTTGTGGATGATGACCGTCGATAAGAAACTGAGATTATGGAAAATAGAATCTACTTTAATCAGGTTTATGATTCATCTCATACGGTCTCGACGGTGAAAAAGAGAAAAATAAAAATAAATCATATGGTGCACTTAAGACCACCTGAAACCATATCGAATTAAACTTGATAGTAGATAAGCGCAAGTATGCAGGACTCAGGAGTCAGGAGGTATAGTATCTGATTACCTGGTGACTTGTCCCTTACACTGACTGCCCTCGGGGGCGGGTTCAGAATACGTGGCTTACCTGGTGACTTGTCCCTTACACTGACTGCCCTCAGGGGCGGGTTCAGAACACGTGGCTTACCTGGTGACTTGTCCCTTACACTGACTGCCCTCAGGGGCGGGTTCAGAACACGTGGCTTACCTGGTGACTTGTCCCTTACACTGACTGCCCTCGGGGGCAGGTTCTGAACACGTGGCTTTCCTGGTGACTTGTCCCTTACACTGACTGCCCTCAGGGGCGGGTTCTGAACACGTGGCTTACCTGGTGACTTGTCCCTTACACTAACTGCCCTCGGGGGCACGTTCTGAACACGTGGCTTACCTGGTGACTTGTCCCTTACACTGACTGCCCTCAGGGGCGGGTTCAGAACACGTGGCTTACCTGGTGACTTGTCCCTTACACTGACTGCCCTCAGGGGCGGGTTCAGAACACGTGGCTTACCTGGTGACTTGTCCCTTACACTGACTGCCCTCAGGGGCGGGTTCAGAACACGTTGCTTACCTGGTGACTTGTCCCTTACACTGACTGCCCTCAGGGGCGGGTTCAGAACACGTGGCTTACCTGGTGACTTGTCCCTTACACTGACTGCCCTCGGGGGCGGGTTCTGAACACGTGGCTTACCTGGTGACTTGTCCCTTACACTGACTGCCCTCGGGGGCGGGTTCTGAACACGTGGCTTACCTGGTGACTTGTCCCTTACACAGACTGCCCTCAGGGGCGGGTTCAGAACACGTGGCTTTCCTGGTGACTTGTCCCTTACACTGACTGCCCTCAGGGGCGGGTTCTGAACACATGGCTTACCTGGCGACTTGTCCCTTACACTGACTGCCCTCAGGGGCGGGTTCTGAACACGTGGCTTACCTGGTGACTTGTCCCTTACACTGACTGCCCTCAGGGGCGGGTTCAGAACACGTGGCTTACCTGGTGACTTGTCCCTTACACTGACTGCCCTCAGGGGTGGGTTCAGAACACGTGGCTTACCTGGTGACTTGTCCCTTACACTGACTGCCCTCAGGGGCGGGTTCTGAACACGTGGCTTACCTGGTGACTTGTCCCTTACACTGACTGCCCTCAGGGGCGGGTTCTGAACACGTGGCTTACCTGGTGACTTGTCCCTTACACTGACTGCCCTCAGGGGCGGGTTCAGAACACGTGGCTGCACACACGTTCGCTCCTTCTCTCCAAACCATGGGACTCAGACATTGGGCACTCCACAGTCTGTCGTCTGAAGGGAAAATGTGTTTAGTGGACGAGGGGAAACATTGAAAAAATATGAGAATTTGTGAAATAATGTGAGATATAACACACAGAACTGCACATGTAGTAGCTGAGTAATTAACAAGTAATCTGCTTTCATACTCACCGCAAGGAATAAAGATAGGATCTCCCCAGCGAGGGTGGAACGTGTCCGGCAACCTGGCTCCCAAAGTATCAACACACCAGCACTCTTCTTCGTCACACTGCTCCTTCACGTACCCTCCCTGCAACATACGGGTTAGAGATAGCAGCTGGCACGCGCCATTATTCCTGGCTTCAGAAGATGTTTCAATGAAATGAAATATTTTTGTAAGAAATGGAACATTGTTTTCACGAATATCAGAACTTTCATCCAGGAAGGAGTTGTTCCAAGGACCAGTATTTGGGTCCATTCTTGTAAGTTCCTGATTAATTATTTGCGAATTTTCGAGATAATTTGATGTAAACAGATTCTTTGTCTTATGCACATTTTTTACGAGTTCAGGAGATTTTCAGTATCCGGTCCCAGTACGGTAGTACTAATCTGTTTAATAAGCCGATCTTCTTATCAGAAGTATTAAATAAAACTTCCGTCGCCATGAATCATGGCTGATGATCTAATAATCTTGACAAATAAATATTTCAATTTTAAGTCTCCAACCCGACAAAACACTAATCTTAAACATAAAATACTAAAATTTAACGTGGACTGTAACAAACCTGGTTGTTACACTGAGCAACGTATCTGTCCACAGAGTAAATAGACAACTGCCTACTCTGTACCTCCAAACACAGATCAGCCTTACTTTCCTCCACTCCTATTTCCGGTATGTTCACTGAAATTAACGATTCTGAAACGTGATGGACTCCAAAAACGTTTTTAATCAGACTAAAGTAGCTGAGACAGTTTTATAGAAACGTTCTAACTTTAACCAGGAGATTTAGAGATAACGAGGTTCAACAAAACTTAAACATGTTTTAAATTTAATCATACGAAGAACTAAGAAGTCAACTTACAGAACGAACAAGAAGCCTCAAAGAAGGATCTTGTTCCAGGAATCTCTTCTCCATAGCGACTGACACAGAAACAGTGTCCCTGAAATTTGGACAAATTTATTTAAAAGTTAAAAAGCTCCTGATAAATAATCTTAGTACCACTTTTGATGATAACGAAAAAAACGAAAGCATTGAACTCATCTCAGATGCTTTCAAAAAATTGGTGAACGGTAGATTTTGAAACAAATTTCTATCAAAGGTGGTCCAAAAATAAAAGCTTTTACTGACGAGGTTTTGTTAATTATAATACATTTTTATTATAGTCTGACCTTTGGATGACACTGTGATGGCTGATAATTTCCAAACTCATCGCATCTGACATAACTCACTGAGGCTTGCTCTCTAATACAGTTTGTGGTCTTGTGGATGTACTCTGGAGAATACGTTACTTTAACAAAACATCGGGTTAGTTATGATATAAGATGACGTTTTTCAATATTTTTTAAATTAAGTATCCTCCGATACCTCAGGAACATGAAGGAACAACAAGATGAAGAAAGCACAAACCACACTTGAGAGAATTGCTAGCGTCCCGATTGGTTCCCGATATCACCACACCTCCCACCTCGCACCAACACTGCTGAAGAGCACAAACAGTCACTCCACACTCCTCGGCTCCACAATCAGGGGTGCCTTCTGTTGCAGTTACAGGACCTTGGGTAGTAGCGTTTGCGAACGTCATCGGAGGAGGAGATTCGGTACGTTCGATGGGTTCTTCTGTAACAATATCAGAACCATCTTTACCTCCAGAGTCTGTTCCATACTCCCCCTTTTCAGTACCGGTCTCTTTCCCATCAGGTATACCAGTGGTTGGGATTACTGACTCAGTAGTGCCCTCCTCTTCTACTTCATCCTCTGTAGGCTTTTCTGTGATTTGGGCGTCTTCAGTAACAATCTTGAAATCATCTGTAATCCCCGAGTCCGTTCCGTCCTCCACTTGGTTTTTAGTAAAAGTCTCCGTCCCATCAGGTCTAGGTTTACCAGTGGTTGGGATTACTGACTCAGTAATGCCCTCCTCTTCTACTTCATCCTCTGTAGGCTTTTCTGTGATTTGGGCGTCTTCAGCAACAATCTTGAAATCATCTGTAATCCCCGAGTCCGTTCCGTCCTCCACTTGGTTTTTAGTAAAAGTCTCCGTCCCATCAGGTCTAGGTTTACCAGTGGTTGGGATTACTGACTCAGTAGTGCCCTCCTCTTCCACAATGTCCTCTGTAGGTTTTTCTGTGATGTCGGCGTCATTAGATGTATCTGTCGATCCTTCATCTTCTTCCTCAGGAATCTCAGTGACTGCTACATCTGGCGTCTCAGTGACTTCCACATCTGACTTCGCAGTCAGGTCCGGCTTTTTGGTCACTTCAACCTCAGGTCTCTCAGTTACTTCTGCGACGGGCTTTTCAGTCACTTCCACGATAGGCTTCTCAGTAACTTCCAAGACGGGCTTCTCAGTCAATTCTGGCTTTTCGGTTCCGACAACCTCTGGTCTCTCAGTCACTTCCACGACAAGCTTCTCAGTTACTTCCATGACAGGCTTTTCAGTAACTTTCACGACGGTCTTCTCAGTTACTTCTGCAACAGGTTTTTCAGTCACTTCCACGACAGGCTTCTCAGTCACTTCCACGATTGGCTTCTCAGTGACTTCCACGACAGGTGGATCAGTGACTTCTGCGACGAGCTTCTCGGTTACTTCTGCGACGAGCTGCTCAGTTACTTCTGCGACAGACTTTTCAGTCACTTCCACGACATGCTTCTCAGTAAATTCAACGACTGGCTTCTCAGTGACTTTCACGACAGGTGTCTCGGCGACTTCTGCAACGGGCTTCTCAGTTACTTCAGCGACGGGCCTTTCAGTGACTAACACGATTGACTTCTCAGTAACTTCCTTGACGAGCTTCTCAGTGACTTCGACAACGGGCTTCTCAGTCACCTTAACGACAGGTGTCTCAGTCACTTCCACGACGGGCTTCTTAGTAACTTCCACGACGGATTTCTCAGTTACTTCTGCGACGGGCTTCTCAGTCAATTCTGGCTTTTCAGTTACGACAACCTCTGGGCTCTCAGTAACTTCCACGACGGGCTTCTCAGCTACCTCTGTACCGGGCTTTTCAGTCACTTCCACGACAGGCTTCTCAGTCACTTCCACGACAGGCTTTCCAGTTACTTCCACGACAGGTGTCTCAGTGACTTCCACGACAGGTGTCTCAGTAACTTCCACGAAAGGCTTCTCAGTTAATTCTGCAACGGGCTTTTCAGTCACTTCCACGACAGGCTTCTCAGTCACTTCCACAATTGGCTTCTCAGTGACTTCCACGATTGGCTTCTCAGTGACTTCTGCGACAGGCTTTTCAGTTACTTCTACGACGGGCTTTTCAGTCACTGCAACGACAAGCTTCTCAGTGACTTCCACGATTGGCTTCTCAGTGGCATCCACGACAGGTGTCTCAGTGACTTCTGCGACGGGCTTCTCAGTTACTTCCACGATTGGCTTCCCAGTCACTTCCACGACAGGTGTCTCAATGACTACTGCGACAAGCTTCTCAGTTACTTCTGCAACAGGCTTTTCAGTCCCTTCCACAACAGGCTTCTCAGACACTCCTACGACAAGTGTCTCAGTGACTTCCACGACAGGCTTCTCAGTCACTTCCACGACAGGCTTCTCAGACACTTCTATGACAGACTTTTCAGTCACTTCCACGATTGGCTTCTCAGTGACTTCCACGACAGGTGTCTCAGTGACTTCTGCAACGGGCTTCTCAGTAACTTCTGCAACGGGCTTTTCAGTCACGGGCTTCTCAGTGACTTCCACGATTGGCTTCTCAGTGACTTCCACGACGGGCTTCTCAGTGACTTCTGCGACGGGCTTCTCAGTTACTTCAACTATTGGCTTCCCAGTCACTTCCACGACAGGTGTCTCAGTGACTTCACTGACGGGCTTCTCAGTTACTTCTACGATTGGCTTCTCAGTCAGGGTCTCAATGACTTTTACGACGTGCTTTTCAGTTACTTTTGCGACGGGCTTTTCAGTCACTTCCACGACAAGCTTCTCAGTGACTTCCACGATTGGCTTCGCAGTGACTTCTACGACAGGTGTCTCAGTGACTTCTGCGACGGGCTTCTCAGTTACTTCAACTATTGGCTTCCCAGTCACTTCCACGACGGGCTTCTCAGTCGCTTCCACGATTGGCTTCTCAGTGACTTCCACGACAGGTGTCTCAATGACTTCTATGACAGGCCTCTCAGTGACTTCTGCGACAGGCTTCTCAGTTACTTCCACGATTGGCTTCCCAGTCACTTCCACGACGGGCTTTTCAGTCACTTCCACGATTGGCTTCTCAGTGACTTCCACGACAGGTGTCTCAGTGACTTCTGCGACGGGCTTCTCAGTAACTTCTGTAACGGGCTTTTCAGTCACAGGCTTCTCAGTGACTTCCACGATTGGCTTCTCAGTGACTTCCATGACGGGCTTCTCAGTCACTTCCACGACAGGTGTCTCAGTAACTTCCACAATTGGCTTCTCAATGACTTCCACGACAGGTGTCTCAGTGACTTCACTGACGGGCTTCTCAGTTACTTCCACGATTGGCTTCTCAGTCACTTCCACGATAATGGTCTCAATGACTTTTACGACGTGCTTCTCAGTTACTTTTGCGACGGGCTTTTCAGTCACTTCCACGACAAGCTTCTCAGTGACTTCCACGATTGGCTTCGCAGTGACTTCCACGACAGGTGTCTCAATGACTTCTATGACAGGCTTCTCAGTCACTTCTGCGACAGGCTTCTCAGTCACTTCCGCGATTGACTCCTCAGTCACTTCCACGACAGGTGTCTCAGTGACTTCTGCGACGGGCTTCTCAGTTACTTTCACGATTGGCTTCTCAGTCACTTCCACGATAGGAGTCTCAGTGACCTCCACGATTGATTTCTCAGTAACTTCCTTGACGAGCTCCTCAGTCACTGCCACGACAGGCTTCTCAGTCACTTCCGCGATTGACTTCTCAGTCACTTCCACGACAGGTGTCTCAGTGACTTCTGTGACGGGCTTCTCAGTTACTTTCACGATTGGCTTCTCAGTAACTTCCACGATAGGAGTCTCAATGACTTCCACGACGTGCTTCTCAGTTACTTCTGCGACGGGCTTTTCAGTCACTTCCACGACGGGCTTCTCAGTAACTTCCACTATTGGCTTCTCAGTGACTTCCATGAAAGGTGTCTCAGTAACTTCCTCGACGGGCTTCTTAGTTAATTCTGCGACGGGCTTCTCAGTTACTTCTGCGACAGGCTTTTCAGTGACCTCCACGATTGATTTCTCAGTTACTTTCTTGACGAGCTCCTCAGTCACTGCCACGACAGGCTTCTCAGTCACTGCCACGACAGGCTTCTCAGTCACTTCCACGACAGGTGTCTCAGTGACTACTGCGACAAGCTTCTCAGTTACTTCTGCAACAGGCTTTTCAGTCCCTTCCACAACAGGCTTCTCAGACACTCCTACGACAGGTGTCTCAGTGACATCCACGACAGGCTTCTCAGTCACTTCCACGACAGGCTTCTCAGACACTTCTATGACAGACTTTTCAGTCACTTCCACGATTGGCTTCTCAGTGACTTCCACGACAGGTGTCTCAGTGACTTCTGCAACGGGCTTCTCAGTAACTTCTGCAACGGGCTTTTCAGTCACGGGCTTCTCAGTGACTTCCACGATTGGCTTCTCAGTGACTTCCACGACGGGCTTCTCAGTGACTTCTGCGACGGGTTTCTCAGTTACTTCCACCACGATTGGCTTCTTAGTCACTTCAACGACAGGTGTCTCAGTAACTTCCACGATGAGCTTCTCAGTTACTTCTGCGATGGGCTTCTCAGTTACTTCTGCGACGGGCTTTTCAGTGACTTCCTCGACGGGCTTTTCATTTTCTTCTTCGAAAGGATTCTCAGTTACTTCCACGACAGGTGTCTCAGTGACTTCCACGACGGGATTCACAGTCACTTCTGCGATGGGCTTTTCAGTCACTTCCACGACTGGCTTCTCAGTCACTTCCACGACAGGTGTTTCAATGACTTCCACGACAGGCTTCTTAGTCACTTCTACGATTGGCTTCTCAGTGACTTTTACGACAGATGTCTCAGTAACTTCTGCGACAGGCTTCTCAGTTACTTCCACGATTGGCTTCTCAGTCAATTCCACGAAAGGTGTTTCAATGAATTCCACGACGGGCTTCTCAGTTACTTCTGCGACGGGCTTTTCAGTCACTTCCACGACAGGCTTCTCAGTCACTTCTACGATTGGCTTCTCAGTCACTTCCACGACGGGCTTCTCAGTCACTTCTGCGACGGGCTTCTCAGTTACTTCCACGACTGGCTTCTCAGTCACTTCCACGACAGGTGTTTCAATGACTTCCACGACAAGCTTCTCAGTCTCTTCTAGGACGGGCTTTTCAGTCACTGCCTCGACACGCTTGACAGTCACTTCCATAATTGGCTTCTCAGTGACTTTCACGACAGGTGTCTCAGTGACTTCTGCGACGGGCTTCTCAGTTACTTCCACGATTGGCTTCTCAGTCACTTCCACGAAAGGTGTTTCAATGACTTCCACGACGGGCGTCTCAGTTAATTCTGCGACGGGCTTTTCAGTCTCTTCCACGACAGGCTTCTCAGTCACTTCTACGATTAGCCTCTCAGTGACTTCCACGATGGGCTTCTCAGTCATTTCCACGCCAGGTGTTTCAATGACTTCCACGACGGGCTTCTCAGTGATTTCCACGACGGGCTTCTCAGTCACTTCTGCGACGGGCTTCTCAGTTACCTCCACGATTGGCTTCTCAGTCACTTCCACGACAGGTGTCCCAGTAACTTCCACGACGGGCTTCTCAGTCACTTCTGCGACGGGCTTCTCAGTCACTGCCACGACAGGCTTCTCAGTGACCTCCACAACAGGTGTCTCAGTGACTTCTGCGACGGGCTTCTGAGTCACTTCCACGATTGGCTTCTCATTGACATCCACGATTGCCTTCTCAGTGACTTCCACGACAGGCTTCTCAGTTACTTCTTCAACGGGCTTGTCAGTCACTGCCACGACAGGCTTCTCAGTCACTTCCACGATTGGCTTCTCAGTGACTTCCACGACAGGTGTCTCAGTGACTTCTGCGACGGGCTTCTCAGTTACTTCCACGATTGGCTTCTCAGTCACTTCCACGAAAGGTGTTTCAATGACTTCCACGACGGGCTTCTCAGTTACTTCTGCGACGGGCTTTTCAGTCACTTCCACGACGGGCTTCTCAGTTACTTCTGCGACGGGCTTTTCAGTCACTTCCACGTCAGGCTTTTCAGGTACTTCCACGACAGGCTTCTCAGGTACTTCCACGTCGGGCTTTTCAGTCACTTCTGCGACGGGCCTCTCAGTCACTTCCACAGTTGGCTTCTCAGTCACTTCCACGACAGGTGTCTCAATGACTTCCACGACGTGTTTCTCAGTTACTTCTGCAACGGGCTTTTCAGTCACTGCCACGACAGGCTTCTCAGTCACTTCCTCGATTGGCTTCTCAGTGGCTTCCACGACAGGTGTCTCAATGACTTCCACGACGTGCTTCTCAGTGACTTCTGCAACGGGCTTTTCAGTTACTGCCACGACAGGCTTCTCAGGTACTTCCACGTCGGGTTTTTCAGTCACTTCTGCGACGGGCCTCTCAGTCACTTCCACGATTGGCTTCTCTGTCACTTCCACGACAGGTGTCTCAATGACTTCTATGACAGGCTTCTCAGTCACTTCTGCGACAGGCTTCTCAGTCACTTCCGCGATTGACTCCTCAGTCACTTCCACGACAGGTGTCTCAGTGACTTCTGCGACGGGCTTCTCAGTTACTTTCACGATTGGCTTCTCAGTCACTTCCACGATAGGAGTCTCAGTGACCTCCACGATTGATTTCTCAGTAACTTCCTTGACGAGCTCCTCAGTCACTGCCACGACAGGCTTCTCAGTCACTTCCGCGATTGACTTCTCAGTCACTTCCACGACAGGTGTCTCAGTGACTTCTGTGACGGGCTTCTCAGTTACTTTCACGATTGGCTTCTCAGTAACTTCCACGATAGGAGTCTCAATGACTTCCACGACGTGCTTCTCAGTTACTTCTGCGACGGGCTTTTCAGTCACTTCCACGACGGGCTTCTCAGTAACTTCCACTATTGGCTTCTCAGTGACTTCCATGAAAGGTGTCTCAGTAACTTCCTCGACGGGCTTCTTAGTTAATTCTGCGACGGGCTTCTCAGTTACTTCTGCAACGGGCTTTTCAGTCACTGCCACGACACGCTTCTCAGTGACTTCTGCGACGGCCTTCTCAGTTAAATCCACGATTGGCTTCTCAGTTACTTCCACGACAGGTGTTTCAATGACTTCCACGACAGGCCTCTCAGTTACTTCTGCGACAGGCTTTTCAGTCACTTCCACGACAGGCTTCTCAGTGACTTCCACGATTGGCTTCACAGTCACTTCCACGACAGGTGTCTCAGTAATTTTCACGACGGGCTTCTCAGTTACTTCTGCGATGGGCTTCTCAGTTACTATTGCGACGGGCTTTTCAGTAACTTCCACGATTGATTTCTCAGTAACTTTGTTGACGAGCTTCTCAGTGACTTCCACGACGGGCTTTCCAGTTACTTCATCGACAGGCTTCTTAGTTACTTCCACGACAGGTGTCTCAGTGACTTTCACGATTGGCTTCTCAGTGACTTCCACGACAGGTGTCTCAGTGACTTCTGCGACGGGCTTCTCAGTTACTTCCACGATTGGCTTCTCAGTCATTTCCACGACAGGTGTTTCAATGACTTCCACGACGGGCTTCTCAGTTACTTCCACGACGGGCTTTTCAGTCACTTCTGCGACGGGCTTCTCAGTTACCTCCACGATTGGCTTCTCAGTTACTTCCACGACAGGTGTCTCAGTAACTTTCACGACGGGCTTCTCAGTTACTTCTGCGACGGGCTTTTCAGTAACTTCCACGACGGGCTTTTCAGTTACTTCATCGACAGGCTTCTCAGTGACTTCCACGACAGGTGTCTCAGTGACTTTTGCGACGGGCTTCTCAGTTACGTCCATGATTGGCTTCTCAGTGACTTCCACGACAGGTGTCTCAGTGACTTCTGCGACGGGCTTGTCAGTTACTTCCACGATTGGCTTCTCAGTCACTTCCACGACAGGCGTTTCAGTAACTTTCACGACGGGCTTCTCAGTTACTTCTGCAACGGGCTTCTCAGTTACTTCTGCGACGAGCTTCTCAGTGACTTCCACGACGGGCTTTTCAGTTACTTCATCCACAGGCTTCTTAGTTACTTCCAAGACAGGTGTCTCAGTGACTTCCACGATTGGCTTCTCAGTGACTTCCACGACAGGTGTCTCAGTGACTTCTGCGACGGGCTTCTCAGTTACTTCTGCGACGGGCATCTCAGTATTTTCCATGACGAGCTTCTCAGTAACTTCCACGACGGGCCTGTCAGTCAGTTCTGGCTTTTCGGTCAACCACGTAGTATCAACCACGCCAGACGTTTCAGTGACTTCTGCGACAGGCTTCTCAGTTTCTTTTGCGACGAGCATCTCAGTATCTTCCACGACGATCTTCTCATTGATTTCCACGATGGGCTTCTCGGTAACTTTCACGACGAGCTTTTCAGTGACTTCCACGATAGGCTTCTGAGTAACCTCCACGACGGGCCTCTCAGTCAGTTCTGGCTTTTCGGTCACAGCAACCTCTGGGCTTTCAGTTACTTCTGCAACTGGTCTCTCCGTTGATTTTGGTGTTGTTGCCGCGTCTTCTTTAATTTCTTCAACGACAGCGTTATTAATTTCATCTTCTTTTGGAATAGCTAGCATTTCATTCAGTTTTTCAAGTAATTCCTCGCTCGTTTCCGTCGTTTCTACATTCTGGTTTTCAGCCATGTCTTCCTCCTGATTCTCAATGATTTCAGCAGCAGGCTTATCCGTTACTTCAATGTCTGGCTTCTCAGTTAACGCTGGCTTTACAGTTACGTAAACTGCTGAACTCTCAGTTACTTTTGCGATTGGTTTGTCGGCGACGTCCACTTTCGGTTTCTCAGTCAATTCAAACTCATCAGTGGAATTAACATCCGTCTCCTCAGTGGCACTTTCAGCTGTCTTTTCAGGGATAACCAGATTTTGATTTTTAACTGAGATTTCAGTTTCATCGACGACAGCCTCATCAGCTCCTCTATCTTGCTCTGGAAAAGCTAGCATTTCTGTAAGTTTTGCAAGTAACTCATCACTTGTCTCTATTTTCCCTTCATCTGATCTAGATGTGGCATAACTGCCTATGACGGAGTCGTTCGAAACTCCTTTATCTGATTCGACTGCAACTTTAATTAAAGTTTCTGATCCATCCTGATCAATGCCAAATTTAGGCTCAACCGTGATTACTGGTGCGGGAAATTCTGGGCTGTTTGGATTGGCCCCCTCGCCTGGTAAATGAATTTTGTCAGTCTAAGTTGTAAATTGATAAGAACGTCAAACAAGCATTATCACGAACAGGTATTATTTAAAAAATCCAGATCTGAAGACGTTCTAGACAATGTATAAAGCATGTTACAAATTGAGTTTTATCATTTAACTTCAGTTTCCTATTTGCTATGCACCTATATCATTCGCGTTCACAGATATAATATAGTATATTAGATCGGGGCGCCATGTGGCTCTATTTTGAAATGTTTCGAAGTAAATTTAGATCAAATAGAAAAAAAAGCGGCGATTACCATATGGTTGTTACTTATTACCAAAATTGGTCGAGTAAACTATGTACTTTATAAGTAACGATAAATTAATATTAAGTCCCAACAAAATTCAAACAAGAAAAACGTCTCGTTATCATTATCATAAAGGAGATTTTTGCGAAACGAAAATGAAATAACTCACAGTTAGAGAGGGAGAATAAAGAGGAGATAAGGAAAATAAGGGGAGGAAGTCGGAGCATCTTCTGACTTCACCCTGAGTGCAAGAGTGACACGTATTACATACACGGCGAAATGAGCTTCAGATCACTAGCAATCTGTGCAAATATACTCTGCAGTCAGATGGGTTCGTGATATCACCACATGTATTTAATCATTATTATAGACTTATTATTAATAAATAAACGTATATCCTCCTATTATATTATATTTAAATCTGACATAATCATTACAGGCGCAAATCTGAGTTTCTCATTAATCTTTGATCACTGAAATTTTAAATATAAGCCTATATTTTAACTAAAATTATCCAAACAAGCAACTGTGCTTATCATACCTGATATTTCGAGTTTCAGATAGGCTGCGTTCAAATTCAAACTATCAATATAAAAATACTGTCATGCAACAATGATGAACCCTCGAAGCGTGTTACGTTAACAAGATGAGCGGTCGGTCAAATCATCGGGTGTACGGCTAATTATCAATTTATCTTGAAGCCGATCTCTGGGTGGGGAAGTGACCTCCGAACATGTAATGTAAATCCAAATAAAGTAATTGAATTTAGACAATTTCCGCACCTTCTTTGCAGACGGTAGGAGATAAAGGACCCTGGTTCCGTCTTATAACTGTCACCCGGGCCCAATTCTTGCTGCCTTATCCTGAAAACCAATTAAATATAAATGATTTAAATTCTTGTAGTCTTGTATAAGCACTTACAACACATGTTTCGTTCACATTGAGAACATTCCAGAGGATATTGAGAGGGTGGTCCGGGTTTGGGTTACACTCTTCTCTGCTGACTGTTGATGAGGCATATTTCCGCGGGAGATAACCTTTAATGAGCAGGGATTCAGCTTCTAAATCAAAGTTTCTCTTACTAATTGGGTTAAGATTTCGAGCAGGAAAATCTTACCCGGGTATAAGATGATCAAGTTAAAGAGGATTTGCCGGATGAGTGATAAGAATAGCATATATTACTCACATACTGCTTACTTTCTGATGTAACCGTGTAACAGCAAATGAACGCAGCATCACTGCCTCCCTAGTCACAACATCACTGGTTGGATGCGCTATTTGAGTCGGCAAACAGAGCAACTTCTCCATAAGTATGAAGGGGAGGTGTAGTCAGGGTGTTAAAACCCTACAAGGATCAGAGTAATCTACTTTGGAAGTCTTAATCGTGATATCAGGGATTTTTATTAACTGGAAGAAACTGTTTAGTTATTGATTAGGCGTATTTTTACTACGGATATTGCAGAGAAGAAAAATACATGAGCCGATCTGAAAGTTAGAACAGATGTCAGCCTCGACTTCGAAGACGTTAGAAACAGAATAATGAATATCTAAGCTAACTACAAGGCAGTAGACATAATACACTCTATTTGTTTGACTCAATAATGATATAATGGTTTAATTTAGCATCTATAAAAGTATAAACATGAACAAGGTTATTGAACCGAGGTAAGTGAATTTAGTGAATAGCTCCTTATTTCAATTTGGTTTATCCATCATTTTTCGTCAATGTTGTATTGAGCAATGAGCATGGACGTAGAATTGGTATTCAAGTTAGAATCAAATTTTAATTTACACAGCAATACAATAACAAATAAGAAATTTTTAAATAATCTAAAGAGACTTCATTGAGCTGTGTAGGTGTGTAAAGGTCGGTGCTAACTGCTACAGGGATCTTGAGGACTACTCGAGCTACTCTAGTTTAGATTATTCAAGTAAATACACGAGTTATGGATTGGTGACTCAAGAAAGTTTAAGTCAGAAGAGATGCTAATATGACAGTATTATAAAATCATGCGTATTAAAACTTGTTACTCTGAGCACACTTAAAATTGAGACCACGGACGGCTGTGGAGGGTGAATCGAGTGTCACGTGATTTGTGTTTCTGATATGTGATTGGTTGTTGTTAGGGTAGTGTTAGGATCGTGGTGATAGGCAAAGGTTGTTACTTAGAAAGTTTGTGAGAATGAACTTGTGAGGGAGGTGCTACTAAAATGGTGTGAAGTTGAGGTGCTGAAAAACTGCGGAAAATGCTTTGTGAAATTGGTGAAATTGCTGGAGCCGTCCGGGAATAATAAATGAAATATTAGTATTAGGCTAGCTTATAAGCTAGCCTGTCATCTAATTAAGCTTAACAGTAAGAACCAGCTAAGCTACTCACGTCCAGGCCTCCCCACTTCCTACATTCCTGCTCACTGCTCAGTGCTCACACCCAGGCCTCCCCAATTCCTACACCCCTGCTCACGCTCAGGCCTCCCCACTTCATACACTCCTGCTCACGCCCAGGCCTCCCCACTTCATTCACTCCTGCTAGCTCACGCCCAGGCCTCCCCAATTCCTACACTCCTGCTCACGCCCAGGCCTCCCCACTTCCTACACCCCTGCTCACGCCCAGGCCTCCCCACTTCATTCACTCCTGCTCACGCCCAGACCTCCCCAATTCCTACACTCCTGCTCACGCCCAGGCCTCCCCACTTCATACACTCCTGCTCACGCCCAGGCCTCCCCAATTCCTACACCCCTGCTCACGCCCAGGCCTCCCCACTTCATACACTCCTGTTCACGCCCAGGCCTCCCCAATTCCTACATTCCTGCTCACTGCGCAGTGCTCACACCCAGGCCTCCCCACTTCATTCACCCCTGCTCACGCCAAGACCTCCCCACTTCATACACTCCTGCTCACGCCCAGGCCTCCCCAATTCCTACATTCCTGCTCACGCCCATGAGGCCTCCCCAATTCCTACATTCCTGCTCACTGCTCAGTGCTCAAACCCAGGCCTCCCCAATTCCTACACCCCTACTCAGTGCTCACGCCCAGGCCTCCCCACTTACTACACTCCTGCTCACGCCCAGGCCTCCCCAATTCCTACATTCCTGCTCACTGCTCAGTGCTCAAACCCAGGCCTCCCCTATTCCTACACCCCTAGTCAGTGCTCACGCCCAGGCCACCCCAATTCCTACATTCCTGCTCACGCCCAGGCCTCCCCAATTCCTACAGTCCTGCTCACTGCTCAGTGCTCAAACCCAGGCCTCCCCAATTCCTACAACCCTACTCAGTGCTCACGCCCAGGCCTCCCCACTTACTACGGGTGGGCGACAATTGACCTCCCGACAATTGACCCCCCGACAATTGACCCCCCGACAATTGACCCCCCGACAATTGACCCCCCCCCCCCCCCGACAATTGACCCCCCGACAATATAATTTAATACAATTGACCCTGACCCTGACCCTGACCCTGACCCTGACCCTGACCCTGACCCTGACCCTGACCCTGACCCTGACCCTGACCCTGACCCTGACCCTGACCCTGACCCTGACCCTGACCCTGACCCTGACCCTGACCCTGACCCTGACCCTGACCCTGACCCTGACCCTGACCCTGACCCTGACCCTGACCCTGACCCTGACCCTGACCCTGACCCTGACCCTGACCCTAACCCTGACCCTGACCCTGACCCTGACCCTAACCCTAACCCTAACCCTAACCCTGACCCTAACCCTGACCCTGACCCAGGACTCTGACCCTAACCCTAACCCTAACCCTAACCCTAACCCTAACCCTAACCCTAACCCTAACCCTAACCCTAACCCTAACCCTAACCCTAACCCTAACCCTAACCCTAACCCTAACCAGTAACCCTAACCCTAACCCTAACCCTAACCCTAACCCTAACCCTAACCCTAACCCTAACCCTAACCCTAACCCTAACCCTAACCCTAACCCTAACCCTAACCCTAACCCTGACCCAGGACCCTAACCCTAACCCTGACCCTGACCCAGGACTCTGACCCTAACCCTAACCCTAACCCTAACCCTAACCCTAACCCTAACCCTAACCCTAACCCTAACCCTAACCCTAACCCTAACCCTAACCCTAACCCTAACCCTAACCCTAAGGCCCTAACCCTAACCCTAACCCTAACCCTAACCCTAACCCTAACCCTTACCCTGACCCAGGACCCTAACCCTAACCCTGACCCAGGATCCTGACCCTAACCCGATCAATAGGGTGGATGGTTTTTTAATCGTATTTATGGAATTGTTACCGTTGTAAAACTTACATTATGACAGTTCAGATGGCGAAAGTTTTATCGAAAATGGACCTGTCATTGTTCTGGAAATAACAATAATAAACAATAATATCTATGACCAATTTAACCATATTAAGAAATGTGGTCGGTGATCCAGTATTGAGCATATGTGCAACTGTGTGAGTTCAGTATTCTAATTGCCCCCTTCAAGCAGCTAAGGTGCGTCTTACTAGCAGTCATGTGACCGAGATCACGTGATAACACCTTTAACTAACTTATTGCCCTGAGGATCAATTGGTACAATGTGTATTGAGGTAAATTGGTCGGGGTATGTTTTATTATATAATATCAGTATTTACACTGAAACATTCAATAGCTTTCCTTAGCTGTTGGAACAGTGAAAGACCAAAATATTAGATGTTAACCCTGAGCAAATTGTAGCTTGTAGTTGTACATTTAATATAATCAATAATACTACATACTACCTTGTCGGACTTTATTTAAACGGACTTTAGTTCATAGTTGGATGCTAGAAGCCCAAGTTTACAATTTACCGCAGAAATTTATCTCGTACCGTTTTAAAACCAGATCTCGGAGAAAGGTTACCTTAGAGTATTTTAAACCTAATTCTCGGGCAGACGTTTTACAATCTCCGAACAGTGTGACTATATTAGGTACAATCTCCGTACAGTTTGACTATATTGTGTACAATATCCGAACAGTGTTCTGTGCAGTGTACCGTGTTATTGTAGAGTATTCTGTGCAGTGTACCGTGTTACTATAGAGTATTCTGTGCAGTGTACCGTGTTATCATAGAGTATTCTGTGCAGTGTACCGTGTTATTGTAGAGTATTCTGTGCAGTGTACCGTGTTACTATACAATATTCTGTGCAGTGTACCGTGTTACTATAGAGTATTCTGTGCAGTGTACCGTGTTACTGTAGAGTATTCTGTGCAGTGTACCGTGTTACTATAGAGTATTCTGTGCAGTGTACCGTGTTA